AAATACATTCATTCCATCCCCAAAGTCTTAACTTGTTTCAATTCAAAGGTCCAAAGTCCAAAGTCTCATCTGTGAAATCAAGACAAGTTATCTACTTCTAAGATACAATAGTGGAACAAATATAGGGTACATATTCCCATTCAAAAAGGGAGAAATAGGCCAAAAGAAAGGGGTAACAGGTCCCAAACAAGTCTGAAACCCAGCAGGGCAGGCATTAAATCTTACAGTTAGCACATCATGTATCTTGACTGGATGTTTGACCTCCTCTGCATGCTGGTGTGGGGGTTGGGTCCCCAAGTCCTCAGGCAGCTCTGCTTCAATGGCTCTCCTGGTCTCAGGTGATGCTTCACCTCTCACAGGCTGGTGTTGCACACTGTTAGCTCCACAATTCTGGGGTCTCCATGGCTGTCCTGCTCTCATGGCTCCACTAGGCATGGCCTTGGTGGGGTTTTTCAGCTGCAACTCTGACCCCACATTTCCTCTTTGCATCGCTCTAGCAAAGACTTTGTGGTGAATCTGCCTCTGTGACGGATCTCTTCCTGGGCCCCCAGGCTTTCCCATATATCCTTTGAAATCGGGGTGGAGAGTGCAAAGCCTCCACAGCTCTGGCATTGTGTGAGCCTGCAGACTTAACCCCACATGGATGCTGCCAAGGCTTCCAGCTTGTATTTTCCAAAGCTGTAGGTCCAGCCATACCTGGGGCCAATTTAGCCACAGCTGAAACAGCCAAAGCAGCCAGGGTGCTGGTGCAGGGACCAGCATTGTGAGGTGGCCCTGGGCAGTGATCCCATGGAGGGTGCCTTGGCTGTGTTCCCCAAAACTATTCTGTCTCCCTAGGCCTCTGGGTCTGTGATGGAAGGGTTGGCCCCAGTGCCTTCAGGGCTTTCCCTGCTTCTCTTGATAAACTCTTTTGTATTAATCTTAGCATCACTGCATTTTCCTCCTGAAAATGGTCTCTGCTTCTCTACCACATGGCCAGGCTGCAAATTTTCCAGATCTTTACTCTGTGCTTCTCTTTTAATTATACATTCTGGCTTTATGTCATAGCTTTCCTGCCATAACTCAGCATAGGCTGTTGCAAGTAGCCATGCAGTTTCCTTAATGCTTTGCTGCTTAGAAATTTCTTAACTGAATACCCTGGGTCAGCACCTAAGTTCCACATTCCATAATACTTTTGGGCATGAAGAGAATGCAGCCAAATTCCTTGCCAGTTCATAGCAATGGTGATCTTTTGGGCATGAAGAGAATGCAGCCAAATTCCTTGCCAGTTCATAGCAGTGGTGATCTTTGCCCTGGTTTCCAATAAGCCCCTTCTTAGTTACATCTGAGATCTCAGTATGGCCTTTACTGTACATATTTCTATCAACATTCTGCTCACTACCATTTAACCAATCTTTAAGAAGTCCAGGCTTTCCCTCTTTTTCTTGTCTTCTCAGCTCCCACCAGCAACTTGTCTTTTTCTAACCAGTCCTCCAGATTCTCCCAGCCTCTCCTCAACAGTCAGTTCCAAAGCCACTTGCATATTTTCAACACCCTACTTCTCTAGTACCAAATTTCTGTATTACTCCGTTTCTGTTGCTTATAACAAAATACCTGAAACTGGGTATTTAGAGAAAACAAAATTTATTGCTTACAGTTCCACAGGTTAGGAATTCCAAAGTCCTGGGAACACATATGGTGAGGGTCTTCTTTGGTGGTGGCTTTACAGCAATGTAGGGTCTCACATGGCAGAAAATGGTGGAGCAGAGAATCAGTTCCTCATTCACTCTCCTTGTAAGGCTCTCAGAACCACACCCACAACCACCATTAAACCATCAACTTAATCACCCCTTCAAGGCCTCACCGTAATAGAATTTCCCACCCTCAACAATTACAGTGGGAATTAAGCTTTGAATATTTGGACTTCGAGGGATGCAATCAATTCCACAGCAAACTTCAACCTAAGTACAATATTGAATAGAAGTGGTAAGAGTGGACATCTTTGCCTTGTTCCTTATCTTATTGGAAAGCATTTGCTCTTTCACCATTAAGTGTGATGTTAGCAGTAGGTTTTTCATAGGTGTTCTTAATTAGATGGAGTAAATTTTCTTCTATTATAGTTTATGAAGTCTTTTATTTTTAAAATCGTGAATTAATATTGAAATTTGTCATTATTTCTGAACTCATCGAGATGATTAAATGTTTTTTTAAGTCTGTCGATGAGGTGAATTACAGTGATTGATTTTTAAAGTTGGTTTTCAACTACTTAATTAACAGGAATCTGGGATAAATCCCACTACGGTAATGTACAGTTGGTCTTTTGTATCTGCAGGTTCTGCATCTGCAGATTCAACAAACTGCAGATTGAAAATATTCAGAAGAAAAAAAATAAAAAATAACAATACAGTGCAAATACTACACCAGTTTATATAGGAGAGTAGAGCATCTGAGGATTTTGGTATCCTCATGTGTCCTAGAACCAATCCTCCACAGAAACCAAGGGATGACTATTAATCTTTTTTATTCATTGCTAGATTCAATTTGTTGACATTTTATTAAGATTTTACATCTGGGTTCATGAGGGATATTGATTTGTGGTTTTCAACTACAAATTCAGTTTCTTTAGGGTTAGTTGGGTTTTCTATTTGTCTCTGAATGAGCTTTGGTAGTTTGATGATGTCTTTCAAAGAATTTGTCCAACTCATCTAATTTGTCAAATTTATTGATATAAAATTGTTCATAACATTCTCCCCTTATCATTTTAGTGTTTGTAGTGTTGTCCCTTCTCTCCTTCTTTATGTTGGAAATTTGTTTCTTTTCCCCACCTGCAATTTCTGACTAGTTTTGTTGATCTTATCAAAGAACCAGCTTTTAGTTTTACTGATTTTCCCTTATTTTCCTTTTTATAAAATTATTTCATTCATTTAAGTTCTTTCTTCTTTGTCGTCGTCTTCTTGTTATTTCCTCAGTTTTCTGTGGGTTTTATTTGCTCTTGTTTGTTACGGTAGAAGCTAAAGTCATTAATTCAAGCGCTTTCTTTTCTTTTTTTGAGAGCTTTCTTTTCTTTTAAGGTTTTTAGCGCTGTAAATTCTCATCTGTGTACTGCTTTAACTTTATCCCAGTCATTTTGATGTTTTAATTTTCAATCATTCATAATTATTTTTTTTGTTGATTGCTTCTTTGATCCATGGATAATTTAGAACTGTGTTTTACTATCAAAATATTTGCAAAGTTTTCTAGATACTTTGCAATTATTAATTTCTAATTTAATTCTATTGTTAGACAATATTTAATGTAATATATACTTTATAGTTGTGTTGCAATCTACATTCTTGATTTATCTTTTCTATTTGTCCTAGTTTTTCTCTGTTTCTGTTTTCCCATTTTCTTGGATTATTGTATATTTCTAAATATAAACCCATTTTATTGCCATTATTGGCTTATTAGCTATTTCTCTTCCTTTCTTTTTTCTCATAGTTGCTTAAGCATTTATAATATTCATCTTTAACTTGTCACTGACTTAGATTTAGAAAAAGCTAATGGAAACTCTTGAGACCAGGAGAATGGAACACTAATATGTTCTGTAAACAAAGGATATTAGATAAAGTACAGAGTTTATTGTAATTCACTTTATTCTTGTTTCTTCTTCCTCTAAGCCTCAAGCACATACTGCTCAGGGCCTTTGTACTTAATATTCCTTCTCCCTGGAGCATTCTTTTGCCAGATAGTAACAAGGTTTATCCTTTGTCTTTTTACTTTGCTACTCATATGTTACCTGATCAGAGAGGTCTCTTTCCATATCATACTTCCTAAAACAACTGCTCAGGGCCTTTGTACTTAATATTCCTTCTCCCTGGAGCATTCTTTTGCCAGATAGTAACAAGGTTTATCTTTTGTCTTTTTTCTTTGCTACTCATATGTTACCTGATCAGAGAGGTCTCTTTCCATATCATACTTCCTAAAACATCCATCCCTTGCTCCTCATGTCTTTACTTCTATTTTGATTTGTTTTTTCTTCATGGTATTTATCACTCGCAGGAGTTATATATTTTTTGTTTGTCTGGATTCCATCCTTTGTTCTATTTACCTTGGCATCCCTGCCTCCTTCAGCAATGCCTGGTAGTCAATAACTGATCGGTAAATATTGATTGAATGATTGAATACATTTTGAATAAATCATATTCATTTGTGTCTGTTTTTGTATAGTCTCCTTACAAAAGAGATCTAATCTACCTGATTACTGAAAATACATCATAAATTTTCCTTTTAGTATGTAATTAAAATGTATTGCTCAAAACCTCTTATATTTTTTTATTTAAGAAGACTATTACCAAAAACTTAGGACTTGCTATATATTTACCCTTTCAAACACGTTTGCTAGGCTTTTTTACTACTGATTTCTTTTTTTTTTTTTTTTAAAGATGACCGGTAAGGGGATCTCAACCCTTGGCTTGGTGTTGTCAGCACCACGCTCAGCCAGTGAGCAAACCGGCCATCCCTATATAGGTGTTATCAGCACCGCACTCTCCCGAGTGAGCCACGGGCCGGCCTATTACTACTGATTTCTTTTTTTTTTTTTTTAAAGATGACCGGTAAGGGGATCTCAACCCTTGGCTTGGTGTTGTCAGCACCACGCTCAGCCAGTGAGCAAACCGGCCATCCCTATATAGGTGTTATCAGCACCGCACTCTCCCGAGTGAGCCACGGGCCGGCCTATTACTACTGATTTCTTTTTTTTTTTTTTTTAAAGATGACCGGTAAGGGGATCTCAACCCTTGGCTTGGTGTTGTCAGCACCACGCTCAGCCAGTGAGCAAACCGGCCATCCCTATATAGGATCCGAACCCGTGGCCTTGGTGTTATCAGCACCGCACTCTCCCGAGTGAGCCACGGGCCGGCCTATTACTACTGATTTCTGAACTGGAGTATCCCAGACCAATATATAAATTTTGCTATCATTTAGGTATAAAATTATTTATAAAATTAAAGACTAAGCAATTAATTTGAATTATTTTGTTGTAGTTCCAACAATTGAGACATGATCTTGAAATGATACTATCTACTCTTCAGTCAAAGAATGAAAAGTTAAAGGAAGACTTGGAAAGGTATATTTAGGTTATAATTACTATATAGATATGTTGAATTGACATTTAAAGTTTTATTTGGATATTGTTTGTTTTCTTTTTCCATGTTTAAAGGGAACAACAGTGGTTAGACGAACAGCGACAGATAATGGAATCTCTTAATGTACTACACAATGAATTGAAAAATCAGGTCGTGACATTATCTGAATCAAGGTATTTTGTGTTCTAGATTTTTAAAATAAAGAAAGTAGTTATATGAAATATAGATGAAAAGAAGGTAAAGTTTACTAGGAATCATGAGTCTTGTCCTAACTTTTGTTAACTGTTAGTTACTTGATCTTTCATGAATGACTTGACTTGGTTGTATGTTTAGTTTCCCTATGTGTTATATAGAAAATATTACTTTCATAAAAGTAGCTTTTTGGTTTGAACAAATGAAGTTTCCACAAAGTTATTGATCAACTTTATGAATAACCAGTTACACGTGTATATGCATTTTATCAGTTAAATGTTTCTCTTAACTTTTTTAAATCTATTAGAATCTTTAATGAACTGAAAACTAAAATGCTTAATATAAAAGAATATAAGGAGAAACTCTTGATTACCATGGGTGAATTTCTAGAAGACCATTTTCCTCTGCCTGATGGAAATGTTAAAAAGAAGAAGGTAAGTTTTAGAGAAGACATTTATGAGATAATCATATTTGAAATTATTTTAGGTAGGTTCAGAAGCAATTTTTTTATATAGTTCAGTGATATAGACACATACATATGCAGAAATATGCCATCATCGTATTATATTTATTGAAAAATTAGAAGCAACCTAATTGTTTAATAAAATGTGATTAATTAAATACATTTTTATATTGTATCCATATGATGGGAAAAATTCAGCTTTTAAAAATAATGAGCACCATCAAAGGAGTTAATGAAATGTTCATAATTTATAGTTAAATAGACAAAACACAGGTGACTAAATTGTATTACTCTAATTTGTACCCAAAAATGTAATAGTACTTATGTCTGAGAGCTGGGATTTTAGATAAGAATTTTTTTTTTACTTTTCACTATTTTCCAAGTTTTCCATGATGAACCTATATAACTTTTTAAATCAGAAGAATGTTGTTTTAAATCTGTTAGTTTAACATAAGTTATTGATCATTTGAATAGTAGCTATGATGGAATAAACCTTCAAAAAAACAAATAAATATTTCATTGGGTGACAGAAGATTGTGAACAACCACTTTAATTCCTTTTCTTTAATACAATATATAGGATAAATAAATAGAACTTTTGAAATTGGAATGGGCGTTGAAACTGGCACCAGAATGATCTCTCTAAAATATGTATATAGTTTAGTGATTTTTCAGTATAAAATCTTTGATGACTGTCTACGAGATGAGGTCTATAAACTACTTAGAGTAAAGGGCTTATTATCTAGACTTTGTCTCTTCAGCCTCATGTTCAACCATTCTTTATCCATCTCTTACATGAATCCATTCAGCCATATGTACTATAGCTCCAACAAGTACACAATGACTTCTCACTTTTTTATGCCTTATACATTCTACTCCCTCTGCATAGAAAATTCTTCTGATCTGATGAGGATAGCAAATTTCCACTTAAGACAGCTCAAACATTTTTTGTGTGAAGATTGAAGTTTAGGTGTCCTTTTATTAGTACTAATCAAACAATTTTGTAATTATCATTTATATTTATCTTCAGCTTCTCCGCACCATGCACTGTGAGCTACCTGATGTGTTTAATTCATCTTTGTACGTCTTCGTCTTGCATATCTTTTATACTACCTTCTTAGTTCATATTTATTGAATAAATGTGGGTGTACTAGGTAAAGGTTCTGTCTTTTTTTCTTACAATCTATATTCTTTTTATTCTTCCCTTTCTTTTTTGTAGTTGTCTGTAGGCTTTACATTGTTATGGACTATGTCTTCCATTCTATCCATTATTATTTATACCTCTTATTCATTTCTGAAATTGTTGACAACCTTCTATTGACCATTTCATTAAGGTCATGATTCCTTGTCTCTCCTTTTAATGATCTTAATTTTATAACAACTCACTGACTTATTTTTTGATTGCCAGCCTCCCCCATCTTTTTCAAAAAAATTCAAAAAATCTATTAAACTTTTCCACTAATAGAACCAGAGGTTTCAGGCATTCAGGAAAGGAAGCGTTGATTATCAGAAGCCATCATGGGTTCACTGAGTCATATTTGATAACCTCATTTTTTTAAAATGAAGTTTAACAACTATTGATACATGGTACAAAATGATAGGTTTCTCTCTCTCTGTCTTTCAGAAGCCATCATGGGTTCACTGAGTCATATTTGATAACCTCATTTTTTTTAAATGAAGTTTAACAACTATTGATACATGGTACAAAATGATAGGTTTCTCTCTCTCTGTCTTTTTCTCTATTTGTTTGTCATTCTCTGTCTTTTTCTTTTACTCTGGCCTGCAATGAAACTACATATATTAGTCTGCTTGGGCTGCCATGACAAAATTTCCACAGAATGAGTGGCTTAAACAACAGAAATTTATTTTTTCACAGTCTGGAGGGTGAGAAGTCCAAGATCAAAGTGCCATCAGGGTTGGTTTCTGGTAAGGTCTTTTTTCATCTTCTTAGTGTGTAGATGATTGCCTTCTTGCTGTGTTCTCACATTGGCCCCTTCTCTGCATGCAAGGAAAAAAAAGAATTTTCTAGTGTGTCTTTCTGTTCTTATAAGGAAAGTAGGCATATTGAATTAGGGCCCCAACCTTATGATTTTATTTAACCTTAAATTACCTTCCTTAAGGCCTTTTTCCAAATACATTCACATTAGGGCTTCAATATATGAATTTTGGAAGACACAATTTAGTCTACAGCTCTGGATCTTATAATTCAAAGTTGTTTGCAAAGAAGAGAGCTAAAAAGCACCCAGATTCCCTTCATAGATAATTAACATCAGGTGAACATCATTTGAGACATCTTCCTAAACACATATACATATAGAAGCAAAATGGATGGATTGATGGATGGGTGGATCATTGAAATTTTTTACATGCTAATAATAGGTATTAAATGTAATTTTACTTAATATGATAGAAGAAAAATAATGAGTGAAGTTGAATTGTTGAACTCAGATAAATATTTCTTTGCTTCAAATGACTTTAGTTCTGGAGAGATCACTCTAATATAAAGAAAAATAAATTATGAAAAATATGAAAGATTATAAGTTTGTTTAACTTCATCTCTCAATTTTAGGCATTATTATTTGATTCTCTGCTATGAAAAATGAGAAAATTAACACTCTTCCTTCTATACCCTCATTCCAATTTTGTGTTATCTTTAATTTGGCAGGTGTATAGCATTTGTACTGTGTTTAGAAACCACCATTCATGTATGTGTTTAACTTTCATTCTATGTTGGATTGAATTCAGTGCTTATTATCTTTTACCAATTCATTTTTGCATTCTTGAGTTTAATCCATTGCTTGATTTGATGGGTTTCTTTGACAAATAATTTGTTCAAGAATTTCTGGGTGTTTTATTCTTTGAATTCTTGTATGATGAAAATACTTTGTTTGCCTTTATACTCAAAAGATGTCTTCAGCACATTTTTCCCCCCTGAATCCTAAGATTCGTAGGTATTGCTTCCATGTCTTCTAGGAAGGAATGTGCTGTGGAGAAGTCTTGAGGCCAGCCTGTACGTGACTCACTACTTCTGACTATGTACCCAAAGAGTTCTTTATGCTTGAACTTTAATTGCTTAACAAGGATATGCCACAACGTTGATCATTTAATATCACTTTTTCTTTGAAGAAGATGATATGTTCTTTTTCTGGGCATATTAATTTCATGGAAATTTTCTTTTATTTATCATTTATCATGTCTTGTGTTGAAACATTTTGTTCTTTAATTACTTTCATTTCTTTTTATTTTTCCTCTGTATTTTTTGATTGTCTCAAGCCTTTATATTTTAATCTATGCATTCTTATTTATTAATCAATTCTATAATTCTGTTGCCTTTACCACTAATGAATCTTATGCTGATTTTTATCACTCTTTTTGATTTTGTAAAGGGTATTAGGAGATTTTGAGATCTAGCTTTACTCTGCTGTCTTTACTCAGGAATTACAATTATTTTTATTAGTGTTATTTTACTATTTCTTTAGTAAATTTGTATTTCTACAGGGCTTTATAAGGACTCTGTGGTAATCTTTGACTGGTATCGGGAGAGTACTAGCTGTCAGTATAGTAGGTGATTGTACTTAATTGATTACCTAAATTCAAAACCTAATTAGGATTAGTATTATCTTGGAAGGAGATTTTTTGTAGTTTTTTTTTTTTAGACCATTGCCCTATAGAACATTTTAAACAATAATTTATTTATTTATTTATTTTGTCCTTTTTGAGACCGGCTGCACTGCGCTCAGCCAGTGAGCGCACCGGCCATCCCTATATAGGATCCGAACCTGCGGCGGGAGCGCTACTGCGCTCCCAACCCCACACTCTCCCAAGTGCGCCACGGGCTCGGCCCTTAAACAATAATTTAGGTAAAGAAGTAGAATACATCATTATCAAAGTTTGCAAATGATATTAAACTACGAGGGCTAGATAGTAAATATATTGGATGACAGGATTAGGACTATATTTTTCAGCTGGCTAGGAAGTATGCCAAATAAAATATGATGATGTTTAGTTAAGATATATAGAATATCTTTCTTGGGTTTGAAACATTAAAGAATGAGGGAGACATGTCTTGGCTAGATGTATGAAAAAACTTTGGCATCAGCAGGGTGAAATGTCCAAAAGTTAATGCAATCTTAAATTTAATGAATTCAAGCATCTATAATTATTAAGGTGATAATATAATTATTCTTTTGTGTGTTTGGTGGTCAAATCACACTTAGATCCTTGTGAGAGACTGAACTAAAAAAAAAAAAACTAAAAAAAAAACAAAGACAAATTACAGCACATTCAGAGAAAAACCATGATATTGAGGGGCGAGGGGCGGGGAGCTCAAATTTATGCCATATGAAATAATTGAAGGGGATTCTGCCTGTGAGCTGCAAGTTTCAGCTTCTGTCTGAGTTTCCAGCCTTAGGTCCTGCCCTAGGATTTCAGACTTGCCTAGCCAGCCTCCACAATTGTATAAAGTAAAAATTTCTTGTAATAAATTTATACACACATACACACACATACATACATGCTATTGGTTCTCTTTCTCCAGTAAAACCTCTGTTGATACTCATGTCATGGATTCAGAGCTAATTACATAATATGCTTGGCCCAGAGCAAAATGAAAACATGGGACCCTTGTTTAAAAAGCAGGAAAGTGTCATGAAAGATTCTAAAATATAAAGCTTTTTCCTTTAAAAAAAAAAAATATATATTTTTTTCCTTTTTTGTCTTTTTACTGACCGGCAACGGGATCGCAACCCTCGGTGTTGCGCCCGCACCGCGCTCAGCCAGTGAGCGGGAACCAGTCTCCACATGGGATCCGAACCCTCGCCGGGAGCGCCACCGCGCTCCCAAGCGGCGCACTTTCCAGTGAGCCACCGGGCCGGCCCTAAAAATATTTTACTATTTATAAAACATAATGGAGTAATAGTGATGCAGGAGGAACAAACAATATAAACTTACTAATTGCAAAACTATTCTTGGT